GAAGAAAGCAGGGATATCATAGTACAGCTGTGGTCTGAGTGTGAACAGCTGATAATACACAGATACAGTAGCTCCTCGCTGTCCAGGCCAAAGAAATCAGAAACTGTAAGATCCGCCATTAAAACGAAAGCTGAGAAGGGGACAATTGTGGCTGTGTCAACATACAGTGGAAGTGCTGTACTACAGGAGGCCTGTGTTTCTGTGGTTGACATCTCAATTTTTTAAATAATGTCTTTTAATGGCTCATGGCTATGTAAGCCAATATCCTGACGGTCACGATCCACACAGAAATTTCTTCTCAATATAGCGCATTCTTTGTCTGGGTGGATGTAGTCGAGCACCTGGGCTGCAGTCATTCACTGGCCACAGACTGACTGCAGCTATATACAACACATGCCCTAGACGGAGCGGCTAGACGAAGACATGGACTCAGCGGAGTCGTGTCAGGATTCAAAAGCAGCGTCCGCTCCTGCCTTGACAGATGGGATAGGAGGCTGCGACAGACACACACCTCACATGCAGACAAGAGCTGCCATCTTTGACCAGAGGGCACTGACCTCTTGACCTTTAGAGCAATACAGTCTAATTAGAGTCTCTACGGTGTCGTCAGAAAAGTGAAACATGCCGTATCATATTTTCGTCCTTATAAAAATGATTATTAGTCACTATAGCTCATGATCAAAACCTATAACCTTCAGTATTAAAGTTAGGTAACCCTCACCTTTTGTGCTATGGACATAAATAATACCTCAAATCATGCACCAGCTTCAAATGTTTGCTATTACATTTCTAATAGAACAGACAGAAAAACTCATATCTTTCATATTTGGGGTGGGCTTTTTTGACTTCGGTCTGTAGACAACACATTAACAACTACTCTGAACTAGGGATGCATAATTTAAAAAAAAAGCCAAAATCATGATATGTCAGTGCACAACATGCGCCAACCATCTTCCCAAATTTGCTATGATAAATCATAAACCTGCTGCTGTCAACTAAAAGTGAAGCTTTAAAGGCTCACTGTGGTTTTCTGCCAAGATAAACGCTAGACAGTTTAATGTCTGAAAATGAATACATTTTGGTATTGTAATTTTTCAGTTTTACCATAAAAATGTTTTTAGTAATATTTCTTGTTTTAATATTTTATTATTTATTTTATATTATACTATGAGGCCGTTGAATGCTTGAATCTGATTGGCTGACGAACGTTCTGAGGTGTGCAATTATTTTCAGGGAAACGCACGGCGATCATAGTTCCAGGCAGCTCTCTTGACCGCATTACAGTTCCATATCACTTTTCATAGTTAACTGTAATAACGGAAATTAGCATACAGTACCTATACAGCACACAGGAATTACTGCAATCACACGTGCTCGCACACGCACACTATGGTCACGCAGTTTGCACAAAAAGGTGTTGTCAGCGCTGCCCTGATGATTTTATCAGTTAGCCTATAGTGTAGCAACTTAAAGGCTACACATGACATTTCTCACTAGCGAGGTAATAACTGCAGTCCAGTCACATGATCATTGTGGTGGCATATTTTGCACTGACAAGCAAGCACTTTTTTTTTTGTGTGTAAATCAAAAAAATTATTTAGTTACTAATTATTTCTGTCAAAACAATCACAAACCTTTTTAGGATTAAAAATCAGTCTAGGTTTTAGGTTGCATATGGCTCAAGACCACCTAGTAAACTGATGCTTAGACCACAGGAAATTTTAGCATTCGGCTGATGTTCATCCTCATCTATCCATCTTCAGCAAATATTTCGCAGAGAGGCCATCCAGATTCCCCACACCCATCCTTAAAATGCCGATGTCACCTACTAAACAAAAGAGCAAGGAGGCGGCCCTCGGGACAGTAATAACATCCGAGTTAACCCTCTCTTCTTTCCTCATTCCATCTTCATTATTTCCATTTTCTATCTCGCAGATGTCCAGAACTGCCTGCAGGTGTTGTGGCTAGCAAACGGTCAATTCTTCTTCTGTGTCAACAATAATTGCTCTTTCCCACTAATCTGAAATTAATATCTCTTAGTCTGATAGAGGTTTGGTTAAAAGAAATAAAGCATGAGAGAGCATTGGGAGTGGGATCAGATCTAGAATCCTTGTCTTTGTAGACAAGGAGGTGATTGACAGGTATGACAGCCACAGGCAAAAGCACATCGTGTAAAGCCAGATAAAGTCAATATTGCCCTTATAAGGTTACACGAGAGCAGTCTGTGTGTCAATATCGAGTATAGACACGCATTTGTCAGGAAATATGACACTGGGCATCACTTGAAGGACACAAACCAGACATGTATCATATAACCAATATTTTACATATGTGAAATATTTTTCTATGATATGAATACTTTCATCTCCTTGATTTGTTAATATGAGTGTTTTGGTACTCACCGCATTAAATCAATGATGCATTAGGCCTGAATCACACTGTGTTGGGGTTGCGGTATGACCTCATCTCCGTGGTACTAGATACTCTAGTTTTCCCACAGCCCATCATTCACTAATTTACTGTTTACTATGTTTACATCCTTTTGTTATGACAATGACACACTATCATTACAGATCGACTTGCAAAGAAAGGCCTATGAGTTTAATTATATTATGAAAAGCTTCCTCCTCCCAACCTGTCACTATATTTCTCCTCCTGTTTTATGGTAGACTGCCTTAGTCAGCTATTCCTCAAGACATTCCTAAAGACATTAATCTCAACATCACTCCGTGCCATGTGTGCTTTAAGACATCCTGCCACAGTCTGTAGATTTGGGAAAAGCTAGCTCTGTCAAACTAACAGATGTGTGTGCAAAAACAAACAAAAAAACTTGTGTGCCACTCACACAAATCAGAGTACGTCACAATAGGACACACTCCAGTTGATCGCACGCCATCCCTTCAACCAACTTTTCACACTGAGGTTCTCAGCCGATGGCCAGAGCATCTGAAATTTCGTTGTGTTGTGTGAAGACTGAGGTCAGACTGGGATCAGAGGCCAAACTAAACCTGCCGCAGACACTTTCTCTACACTCTGTAAGCACAGACCCCATGCACTGCTTAACAAAGGGATTTTTCCCTGCTCACATTTTTCTAGGTGGCATAGGATGTGGTTCAGGATGTGGTTTGCTTTGATATTTTGTTAAAGCTCGATTTTATTAGTGCAAAGACTTTCATATTTTTATGTCTATAACAAAAAAGCCTGCTAAAAGAGAATAAGAAATCTCTACCAGTAATGTCTTGATGGCAACCCATGTGCTGGGAAAAAAATTTTCTTCACTCCATTCAATCTCTTCCCTGCTGACAGTTTCACAGCATGAGAGGTGCCATCCCTCCTGTAGCATATAGACCAATAATTGGCTGCCATGCTGTCAAAGCACCAATTCCTTGCTGAGAATCAACCTATAGAAAGTTTCCAAGCAGTCATTCACTTTATGGTTAACCTGAGCCAAGCATAATTGCAATGTTTATTTGCTTCCAATTACAGACTAATCAAAAACACATTTTCTTCAGTGAGTGACAGTACGATTTCTGCAGTCTAAATTGGTCAGCTAAGCAAAAACAGAGAAGAACTCTTTCTTACGGTCTGACAGAATGAACGTTTTCCTTTGTATATCTCACTCATCTCTACAGTCAGTTATATTATATAATTGAGCTGAATTAAGCTTGATGTCTCACTTCAAAAAATCCAAACTTTTGAATGGTAGTATGAACAGTATATACATATAAATAGAATTATATTTATTTGCTCCACCCTATTTGCAAATTAGCATCTTAAGCATGAACCTCACAAAATTGTTTCTTTCCAATTAGATTTATCCTGTTTTAAGAGGTGTAGATTTTTATATTTACTTCACCCTTTTCACCCAGAATTAAAATATCCCACTCTTAAATACTGAAAGGTTTATGTGCCGAGGTCTCCTTGGGCCAGTTATTCTAATATTTTCAAACCAAATGAATGGGGGCAATAGATAAACATTGAGCTGGATCTGAATCCCAGACATCCCTGTCTATGCAACCGCTCAATGAGCCTATGTGTGCTTGTTGTATATATTCTTGCCTCCGTGTATGGCGGCGTCTCTGTTTGCATACACAAGTACAGTTTGTGTGTGCTAGTGTTCATAGGGCTGCTCCAATAGGACCTCCACACAGTGACTCTCCTTCACAAAAGCCACTTGATTTGGACCCAGCCCGGTTCAGGAAGCCCAACCCAACGGCCTCCAAAACCCCCACCTGACCCAGCGCAAGCCAGCCGTTTGAACACTGAACCCTCTCATTCACCTCCCTCCGTATACATCCACTGATTCCTAGCCCCCCACAAATAACCTTTAATGATGTCATAATGTGTTACACTTCACTGTCATCTGCATATAATAAGGGAACAATTATTAGTCATTTTTTTAATTTTAGCCGTTATGAACCTTAGCGACAGACTACAAGCATCTCTAAGCTAACAAGAGTTCTGTGTGTTTTCCAGAATAAACTAGTCTTTTCCTCCCATTAAAAGGAACCGGAGAGTGGACTCACAGTGTTGGGCATCCACTGCAGTACTATTACAGTTTCCTGTAACAACCAGACTGAAAAGAAAAAACATTTACAGGTTCCCATGTACCTCACTGGAGTTTTACGTGGTCTTTTTCTTTAATAGAAATATTGGAAAATGTATGTAATGTCCTTGCACTGTTGAATAATGGACAGATCACAGCGCAGGGTGGGTCTCCATCCAATCCACACAACTGTGGCAGTCCTCTGTTTTGTTAAACCCTAACAAGTGCTTCAAGCACAGTAAATTACACTGGCTTTGGGGAAGAGGGAGGTGGAACTGGAGCACCTCATTCACAGTTTTTTCCTCCTTTGTTAACCCTGTCACTTCGGCTGCAGGGAGCTTAATGGATTTTAGTATTCTCTTCCACCTCAAGTCAGTGATATAAGTCAGAGAGTCTGTGTGTGCACACTGCATGATTGCAAAACCACGTAATTATGGGATTATGAGAGACTTACCTGTTTGCAACAAGCCTGCTCCGCTGTCACCAACGTTGAAGTGTTTCTGTATGTCAAGGAGGACACCTGGGAAACCGAGACAGAGAGACATTAGAATCGTGCTCTGGTGTAAATTTTTGCCTTTAAACGCAACAATTAGAGTTAAGACTATTTGAGTTTCTTTTTGAAGAAATGATTAGCGAATGAACTTTCAGACATCTTCTGTGCTAAGCATTTTAAAGAATTAAAAATATTGACAGGTGTTTCTCATTACACTTCCTTGTGATCCTCAATAACAGAACAATTACAGGCTTATGTGGGATCCTATGGATGAACACACACACACACACTTCTACACTGGGCTGTTTGAGTTTGAAGTCAAATATAAAATACAAAGTGTGCTGAAGCGTAACAAAGGCATTGGTATGTCCTCAGAATAAAAAAGAAAAGAGAAAGAAACGCACTTTGAATGTACCTCGAGTTGCAGACAGTAAGGAAAGACACTGACTGCACTGGAATGCGAGCAGGTGGCGTGACTCGTGTGACAGGAATGTTGCATTTGTCACTATGTGCGGACAAGCCTGCACCTGCCAAAGTGCCTCTTCTCAGTACGTCTTTGCTACAACGTGCCAATGACAAGTCAAAACGGGTGCGATGGGAAACCGTGAACTGATCGAGGCGAAACTCGAAGATGACTAAAGCCACTACAGCAACAGAAACAAATTGCTATTTTTATTTCTCACAGCCACTCCTGTGTTATATGTCTGTGTTTGTACAAGACATTAAAAAGCATGACGTAATTAGCCAGGCAGCACTGAAAAGTTAATTAAGAGACGGTTCGGCGGCATTAGGTGTTTGATCTGGGTGCGTGAAGCCTTTAATGCGGATGTCTTTCTCTCTTCCTCTATTCGTACAGGACTGTTCAGTGATTTAGAGATGTAACATCAGAGATAACATCAAGCATGTTGGATCTCTATTGCTCTTGTCTAATTTCATTGGCTGTCAGTCACAGACTCTGTTTACAGCCTCTCCTGCATTTAGAAGTGTCTGAATGCTGTGTGCTTTGCACAAATGGAAGATCAAAGCGTTTGTCTGAGAAGAGTTGGACAGTTAAAGAGCACCAGAGGCTTAATTTCTCCCTTTAAAGTGATCAGAAAGAAGGAATGTGGAGATGAGAGACTGAAGATTTGAAGGCAGCAACACGAAAGCTGCAATTACATTAAAACGGGTATAATACTGCCCTGATCAAGAGCTCTTTAGACTCCCGGCCAAAACACACACAACAAACCATATAGCAACTTGATATGGTCAGATGATACAGAAGATATGTAGGCACCAGGCTACATCTTCTAAAAATGATTACTAATGAACTGATTAAAAGACATTAAGATCACCTTTGCTATCATGAAACACTCACAGTTTTTTATTTTATTTATTTAGTCATTTAGCAGTGACTATCTATATTTTTTTTATCAAAAGCGACTTACAAATGAGGACAATAAAAGCAGTCAAAACTAACAAAAGAGCAACAATATATAAGTGCAAATGACAAGTCTCGGTTAGCCTAACGCAGTACACGTAGCAAGGTGTATATATATATATATACACACAATTTCATTGGCTGTCAGTCACAGACTCTGTTTACAGCCTCTCCTGCATTTAGAAGTGTCTGAATGCTGTGTGCTTTGCACAAATGGAAGATCAAAGCGTTTGTCTGAGAAGAGTTGGACAGTTAAAGAGCACCAGAGGCTTAATTTCTCCCTTTAAAGTGATCAGAAAGAAGGAATGTGGAGATGAGAGACTGAAGATTTGAAGGCAGCAACACGAAAGCTGCAATTACATTAAAACGAGTATAGTACTGCCCTGATCAAGAGCTCTTTAGACTCCCGGCCAAAACACACACAACAAACCATATAGCAACTTGATATGGTCAGATGATACAGAAGATATGTAGGCACCAGGCTACATCTTCTAAAAATGATTACTAATGAACTGATTAAAAGACATTTTTATACTGTACAAACCGTATTTTCTATTGCCCTACACCAACCCTACCCCTAAACCTACCCCTCACAGGAAACTTTCTGCATTTATAGATTTTCAAAAAAACTAATTCTGAATTATTTATAAGCCTTTTGAATTACGGGGACACTGAAAATGTCCTCATAAATCACCTTCTCATTGTAATACCTATGTCATACCCATGTTATTATACAAATTTGTGTCAAGTGCAAATGACAAGTCTCGGTTAGCCTAACGCAGTACACGTAGCAAGGTGTATATATATATATATATACACACACACATACACATACAGTACATACATACATATACATACACACACACACACATACATATATATATTTATACAGTATATATATATATATATATACATATATGTATATGTATATTATACACACACAGGTAAGTTTGTTGATAACAAATTAAGTTTACACACAAATCTAGATATTAAATAAACCTGCAAGACACACACACACACACACAAAGAAAAACAAGTAGCTAGAATAGAAAAAATAGAAAGCTAGTGTTTGTTTGTTTTTTGTTGTTTAAAAAAAAAAGATACATATAGATAAAGTAGAATTAAAATAGAATAGAAAGTGTTAGAGTTAGAGTGTCAAATCAAGGTGGAACAGATGTGTTTTTAGTCGTTTCTTGAAGATGGTTAAGGACTCAGCTGCTCGGATTGATTTGGGCAGGTCATTCCACCAGGAGGGAACAGTTAATGAAAAAGTCTGTGAAAGTGATTTTGTGCCTCTTTGGGATGGCACAATAATACGCCGTTCACTTGCAGAACGCAAGCTTCTAGAGGGCACATAACTCTGAAGTAATGAATTTAGGTAAATGGGTGCAGAGCCAGTGGTGGTTTTGTAGGCAAACATTAATACCTTGAATTTAATGCGAGCAGCTACTGGTAGCCAGTGCAAATTGATGAACAGAGGTGTGACATGCGTTCTTTTCGGCTCATTAAAGATTAATCTTGCAGTGGCATTTTGGATTAATTGTAGAGGTTTGATAGAAGTGGCTGGAAGACCTGCCAAGAGAGCATTGCAATAGTCCAGCCTGGATAGAACAAGAGCTTGAACAATGAGTTGTGTTGCATGTTCTGAAAGAAAGGGCCTGATCTTCCTAATGTTTTAGCAATGTGGTCTGAGAAATTCAGCTTATCATCAATCACAACTCCAAGGTTTCTAGCTGTTTTGAAGGAGTTATGGTTGATGAGCCTAACTGGATGGTGACATTTTGATACAAGTGATGGGTTTGTTGAAACCACAAGCAGTTCTGTCCAGGTTGAGTTTAGCTTAGCACCGTTAATCTTTAAAATACCGGTAACACTTTACAATAAGGGCCCATTAGTTAATGCCAGTTAATGCATTAACAAACAATAGCGGCCACACTTTAAGGTCCAATTGTCGCTATTAACAGACCATTAACTACTACTTAACATAATCCTTTAACATAAACTCCTAATTTGCTGCTTAATAATAGTTGGTAAAGTAGTTGTCAAGTTTAGGTATTGCACAGGATTAGGGATGTAGAATATGGTTATACAAAATATGTGCTTTATAAGTACTAATAAACAGTCAATATACTAACACTAGGCATGCTAATAAGCAACTTGTTAATAGTGAGAATTGGTCCCTATACTAAAATGTTACCACAATAACTAACAATGAGCAATACATTTGTTACAGTATTTATGAATCTTTGTTAATGTTAATACTACTGTTTGTTGTCAGTTTGTGTCAAAGTACATTGTCCAATAATTAAAAATAAATCAATATAAAATGTTAAATAAACACTATTTTATTTGTTCAGTTGCATGTCATGTGACCATTAATCTATGAACGTCCAAATGTGTCGTTAATTTATTGAAACATTAACTTAAAACTTAATTTTAAGTTTTAAGGGGGGGGGTACTTCAAGTAAAATATTTTAGGTCAAAGACATTCGTCTGACAGAAAAGATTGGGAAACCCTGAACATCCATTCTTCATACTTAACATTGTAATGTTGAGATTCTTAAATTTAATTTCAGCATTTAAAATAAATTATTTTTATATCCGTGCATCCCTAATTATGAAGTATAAATTCCTGGCTTACAATTTAAAAGGCTGCTGATAAACTTGAAGTACTTGATTTCATTAATTTCAGTTCCTAGCGAAACATATTGATTTGGATATGGGGCGTTGGCGTTCCACAATCCTCCTCTATGCTCAGGAACGGGTGGTCCCAAACTTTTTCCATCAGTCTAATCTGAGGCAGTGTACTAATTAGCTGTAGCACACTCCTCCGTTGCCCCCCATCCCTCAATCCCTCCATTTCTCACACTCCTCCCACTGGGAGGGGGATCCCTGTGCCAGATGGTACTGCGTTTCTCCTCTTTCAACCGAGGCTGCACCTGCCCACCCTCACGCCTGCCAAAGACACAACCTCAACCACCAAGCGCTTCCCACCAAAACTCCCACAGGCAAAACTGATGCAAACCATGTTACAATCTGATTTAGTATGTCCTTATTTAACATGATAAAGTAAGGACTTTTAACTGGAAGAGACTGGTACTAGTAGGTCAGTGTGTGCACAGCACAGCACCAGACCATGAGAGCAACTATCATATTAGTGAATTATATTCAGTGTTTGGCAGGCGATGCTGTCCATGTGTGATTTGCCCTAAATTCTTCCCTCTCTATCTTCTCTTCTGGCTCACTGATAAAGATAGTGTTTAAGGAAAACATGGCAACACCTTGAAACTTTTCAGAGAGAGCTGTCATGAAGCATTTGAGGTGCAGCCACTCTGACTACATGTTGCATCATACTGTAAAACGGTAGGCAATGTGGGCAATGCCACACAAGGTGATGCAAATGCCCCAAATGGCACCAGCAGAATCATCGACCTTCTAGTGTCCGCCTCGATGCCACCAGCCCTGAGGTGTTGCCATAGTAACACGGCACGGTCACACACACACACACACACACACAGAGGAGGCAAATGTCAGCTGGCGATTGGTCAAGTCAGCCTGATCAGGGTAGTAAAAAGGAACTCTGCAATAATGAAGAAATATGCAGTTA